AGGAACTGGTGGCATCAGACATGTTTGGGAGTTGGGGCTTGGAGGCTTGGGATACAGCTCAGTGGTGCAGCACCCGCCTGGAAATCGGGGCTCAAGATAGGAGGCGACGCTAAAGTTCTATAAAACACCTAAATTCCCAGGTTTCCTCACGTCCACGTAGCTGGGTGACTATTCTCTCCCCTGAGAAAATGATGTAGATTTTTCTTTGAAGAAGGTGAAACTGGGAGCCCTTTACCCTGGCACAATGGACACATGTAGTGATGAGGTGTTATTCTGAACACAGATATTAAGCAAATAGCTATAAATTTTACGCTGGGTCTTGGTAAGTCCTCTTTCCCTACTGAACTCACAGAGCACTGGACATTACAGTGCAGGAAAATGATAGGAAGACCTCTGAGGAAAGCTACCACTCCAAAGGAAAGGACCTAAAGTCCCCAAATAATTGATTCAGCTAGACGATCCTACATGGATGCCTTACCCAGGTGCTCAGAGATTCTTAGTGTCACTCTCTTGAATTTGATCTCATATCCAAGGATCACCAAATATTAGTGAAAAGTCTCTGGCATGAAAGAGGAAATGCAAAACAAACAAGAAAAAGAAATTTGGAGAAACAGAGCTATACGCTGAATGAAATGTCAAATAATATTTTAAAAAGATAGAGAAGATATTGAATATATAAAAGGATTATGCAAAGAAAGCTTCTGCAAAAAATCTCCACTGTCCTAGAGTTTCAGCAAAAGGCTAATAGGAGTTTCAGAAAGAGACTAGAGAATCGAGAGAAAAGAATCATCAAAGAAATGCTTCAAGAAATGAACAGCATAAATGCTTTAAGTGAGAAAACCCAAACAGTGAATAAAAGTATTCGTCCCAAATGATAGTACGTTGAGATGTATTAAAATGAGGGATAAATAAAGGATGCTACAAGTGATTGTAGAGAGAAAAGACAAGCCATATGGAAAAGATCAGGAAGCAGAATAGTACTTGATCTTCTTGGAATAAGAAT